ACAAGAAGTTGCAACCAGTTGCAACCCAAGTTGCAACTTACCGAGTTGCAACTTCTTAATTACAGTACCATCTTTAGCTAAAACTATCATAATAATTAGTGAAATTGAAGAAATTATGATAAAATTATATTTAAAATTTTGCAGAAATTAATTGTAAAATTTTGAAGAGATTTAGATAAGCAACCTTATTTATATTAAACATTTTTTTGTAATAGAAAGAAAGAAATTTATAAAAAACAAATAATAAAATTATGTTTATATATTATATATAAATTTTTATTTATTTTTTTATTTTTTCACTCTATTATAAAGATTTTAAATAAGAATGCTATTCTAAACTACTAAAAATTAATTTTAGTAGTTTCAACTATTAATTAAACTAGTTTTGCTAGTTTTGACACTTAACTATAATATTTTTAAAAACTCTAAACTACAGACTTTTAGTTTTAAATAGCAATATTAATCCCAAATAATTAATCAATAAATATTTATATAGATTTATCATACTATTTATTTATAATTTTAAGTTAAAATTCTTTTATTTTATTTTACAAAAATTAATAATATTATAAAGCTTAAATTTATTATCTAATAAAAAAGTAAAATTTTATTAAAATTATATATATTAAAAATTATTTATATTATATCTAAATTATCAAGGATTTCTTTTTATAAAACATTCATAACATAATCATGTTCGTCAATAAAAACAAAAAAAAAGTATAACGAGACCAATATCTGTAAGTTTGGCTATTATATCTAAGGGTTTTTATAAAATTAAAGTATTGCGACCACTTTCAAAATAAAAGAATATCACATTATTAAACTCATGACGAGTTATTCCAATAATCTTAATTTATTGAATTTAAGTTAAGTAAATTAATTATTTATAAATTTTTTCTTACTTATCTATCGACTTCACTTTCTCAACAAATAAATTAGTAAAAATTGATGGTATCATAATTACGCTTTTTTGGAATTAATTAATGATGATCGTAAAACAATTAGTATTATTTATTATTTAACTTCTAATAATGATTCATCAATTACTAAATAGGGGATGGCTTTCGACCTTATTTGATAATCTCTTACTATTTTTGAATCTCGAAGTATTAAACTATTAATAGGAATTTCTTTGTCTTTTATCCAGATTTTACTAGGTTATATATGGTAAAATTAAGTTATTGGCGTTTCATTTTTTTTTTTTTTTTATAAAATTTCATTTATAAGAAACGGTTAAAAATTCTAAACCCCCCATTGAAACATGGAACA